TTTCCAGGGCCTAGGACTACAGAACTGATGAGGACACTTTTTGGTTGTTGTTCAGTGTCCCTTAGCTGAGTTTAGATCACACTCTCACCTGATCCTGTTTCTCTAACACCATCCACTCATCATCCAACCTGTTAGGAAAAAACATTCAAGGTTGTTCCTCTGGCTGTTCATGTCCTTCTGAAGCCCCTGGGACCACAGTTCTTGTTATTAAGGTGCCTGCTCACTACTCGAGTCCCAGATGCCCCAGGGTGCAGTGTAGAGTCCCCCTAACCCTGACACTCTGCCCTCCACCACTGTGGGGGAAGACGTTGAGGTAGGCACCTTGCTGTGTGACTTCAGATGTGCTTGTGGACAGGGACCGTCTACATGTACGCAGTATTTGCATCGACGGGCTCGAGCCACACTTCTGATGGCCTCTGCCTGCCCCCTCTCTGCTGGCCTTAAGCTAGTCTGTTTCCTTGCCTGCTCTGTGTCCAGGAGGCCAGTCCCCTCAGGTGGCAGCACCCCTGTGCCTATGGTTTCAGGAGGTGGAAGGGCAGGAAGGGAAAAGGGCCAAACCGTTGGGTGTTTCTTCTCAGGGCTGGCTCAGCGTCACCTCCCCAAAGAACCCTGACCTGCTTGAGGACATAAGCCTTTCCTGGCTGGCCCTTCTCTAACTCGGTTCTTGCTATAACCTAGTAATGTTGTCCCCTTCCTGGTCCTTGAGGTCTAAGTGTGACAGTTCCTGGTTGTCACCATCTCATGGTACTTCACAGACCCTGTTACTTTCCTGTCAGTGTCCTGGTACCCTGCCTGTCTACACCTGACAAGGTCGCTATGCCTTTCTGCACTTTTGAGGGTGCCTTTGGCTTGCTCCAAGAAGCCAAACTGTGCAGGGACATCTCTGTCCCTCAGCACTGCCATAAGCATCTCTTAATATTGGTACTATGGATCTGTGCCCGGAGTGCAAGGTGGCCTCAGGAGGATTGTCACCCAGGGTTAGAGCGACAAGAGGTTAATGCTGGGGTGGTAAGGGCTGCAGCGGGTGGGAGAGGGAGGCAACGACAGGCTGACCTGCTCACCCCCAGGAGTGCGCCTACACTTCGCAAAGGCTGCTGGTCCCTGGTCCCACGGTAGACTGCAACCATTTGTGCCTGTGTCCCGTTGCCACGCTCTCAGAACCTCACTACTACAGACAACGCTGTGCAGACCTTCTCCCTTCCTCTTTGTCCTCACAGAGGAAGCTCCTAGTGTGGAAGGCAGAGGACAGTCCATGGATTTGCAATTGATTGACTCAGTGCTGAGGGAGTCAAATGGCCCCAGGCCATCCAGGCAGGGAGCATCCCATTTGCCCTCTGAGGATCTAAGGAGAACGCAGAGAGGGCTCAGCTTGGACTGAGTGCTTCCTGGAACTGCAGCCTTCTCAAGGGCCTTCTTGTTTTTATTGAAATTGGCAATAAGAGGGTGTGCCCACCGCCACCTCCCATGCCCACCTTTACCATCTTTCTCCCAAAGAACCTTGGAAGATGTACAAGAATGTTGCATCAAATGCCAGGGAGAATTTTTAAGGTTTGATCCAAGACAAAAGCCTGAAAGCCATTACTCCTTCCTCCTTCCTGGTGACTCTGTTTGAGGGAGAAAACATTGAGAGAGCACATACTCTGGCTAGGTTTAGGCTGGCACCAGGGGAACAGGAAATAGTTGGACGCTGCCCTCACCCGAGGTGCTTGGAGTCTCCTGGGGGGCGGGAAGGAGAAAGGGGCTTCCAGGTCTGTGAAGGGACCTGTCCGTTCAGAACCCCCTGGAAGAATTTCAGGACCTCAAGCTCTCTGAGCCTCCCTGGGACTCTGTTCAACAGGTCTGGGTAGGATCTGAGACTCTAGAGTATTCGAAGCCCCTCAGAGAGATTGTCCCCCAGGGCTGGAGCCGTAACAGGTGTTTATCCCAGCCTCTAGCATGACCCCGGAGCAACGGAAGGGGTCAAGTCTGCAAGGCCCAGGGCTGGACTTGGCGTTCTGCCTGGTCCACAGTGTGGGCTTGTACTGTGAAGGGCTGGAGTGGGGGCTTAGCCAGAAAATCAAGAACTCTGATCAAATCCAGCTTTCTTCTTTGCTGTGATTTGAATGTGCCCCTAAAAGTCACACAATTGAGTTTCCTTGGTGGTGGATTAAGAGGGTGGTTTTATTTGGAGATGGGACCTGGGAGGTGACCGAGGTTAAACGAGACCGTAAGGAAGAGGACCTAATCTGGTGGGGCGGTGGCTTTATGAGATGACTAGGAGGGGCTGGCTGGGACATCCTGTTACCACTTGGTGCCCTGCTCTGCCTGGGGACTTTGTGGGGCATCCCCACCAGCAAAAGGGACCTCAGTGTGTACAGCTTCCCCATCCTGATCGGGAGGCTGCCAGGCCTTCCGAACAGAAAGCTTCATCAACCCACCCTATAGCTGTCTCCATCTGGGATGATGAGTCATGGACACAAAAAACAGACTGAGGCCGTCTCCTTTTGAAGACCTCTGACTCGCTGCAAGGCGGGGCGGGCAGATGGGGCAGGTATTCTCCAGTTGTGTGCAGTCCTCTGCCTTCCCAGGAGTCTCTCCCCCCTAACAGTTTCCATCACCTGACACCAGTGTGTTAGCGACGCCTTTTGCTTACAGACCTGCAGGACAACAAAATACTTCCTTTTACCCACAGTTAAATAGAAGGCAGACAGAGAAGTCTGTTGTTTGTAATAAGGGAGCATGTCATTTAATCAATGGGTTGATCAGCCTGTCATTTTTGTGTCCAGTCTGGTTTCCACACACCAGTAATCAGAGCACAGAGGATAGATAGGGTGCCTGCCGGACCTGGATGCACCAAGTCCTTTCTGTCACTAATTCATTGTGTAAATTCTGGTTTTCAACTAAGGAACATCTTACCTTCCTACCACAAGGACAGTCACGTCCCCACACATTGTTGATTGCCAATCAGTGGTGGAAAGAACACTGATCCCTAGTGTGATGTCAGGGTGCTGCTAATCTGCAATGCCCCGGGCCACCCCCGAGGGCAGACAGTTCCTGCTGTCAATGTCAGTGATACTGAGCTGAAGAACCAAGAGGGTTGTCACTTCAGCTCTGCCATCTACACAACATCCTTAGTGGACGAACACACACACACACACACACACACACACACACACACACACACACACACGATTTCAATCTGCAGGGCTGGCAAAGCCATAGGAACAGGTATGTTCTTGAAGGGTTAGTAGAATAGGAGGCTGAGAAAGGGCATTGAAGTCTTGGGAGTGGAAGAAAGAGCAGAGCGCAGAGCCAGATCACAGGAATGGGTCCCGGGCTCGGGTAGAAGCCTAGAATGCCTAGGTGTCTGACGTAATCTAAAGCCTGGGGAGGTTAGGCTCCAACTATTTTGAGAGGTATTCTCACTGTATACAGTAGAGTGGAGATGAGTGTGACTGTTCATAACTGTCACAACCCTGTGTCCTTTCAAGGCATGGCAAGCTTGCCAAGCCCTACTCAGGTACAGGCAGGGCTGACCAAGTGACTCACTTTAGTCATGGAGTATCAAATGAGCAGACAATGAGCAGTCACTGTGGGGTGGAAGTGTCACAAGTCAGTGCATATCCTGTCATTCTGTCCCTTCTGACACACGGACCCCATGTCTATCTGAGCCACATGAACAAACTGAGACTTGCCAATCCATGGCATATATGAACATAAAATAACCTCTGCTGTAAGATGCTGTGGGACTATTTGTCACCACAGCAGAACCTGGTTGTCCTGACTGATGTAGATGGAAATCACTAGCGGCATTAGTGCAGATAGTACAAGGGGACATTGAATTGTATCCTCTCCCTTCGGAAAACACTCTTCTCTTTCTTCATTATCCAGATTGCCCCAGGGAATCTGTGTGAAGCTAGAGTGATTTCACCCCTTGCCCAGGAGGTCCTGTGCCGAGTAGGAACAGGCCCAAGTTTCTGTAGTTAGCTAAAAATTCACAGGGTAATTTAGAAACTGAATTTAATTTTAGGGTTGCCTTCTATTTATGGAAAAATGATTATAGTTTTCCATTTGTGGGAGTGATACAAAATGTAAAAAAAAAATTGTAACTAAAGAAAGAGTCATTTTGAAGACTTACATGAAGCCAGTACAACACAGGGGTGCCTGCTCCCAGCAAAAATCACAAAGATGGTTTCCAAATGGCTGACGTGGGAGACAGAGCTCAAATCTACTGAAGAAGCAGAAAGTTCCTGCCAGGACAGCCGGAGCCATGACCATAGCCGCGCACGCAGCACTAGTGAGGTTTCCGGAAATCGTCCTAGTGACAGGTGACAGCAACAGTCGCGTGGTGTCACTCAGAGAGGCCTGGAGTACAACTGTCTGTCTTTGAACCACCCTGGTGTCACTCAGAGAGGCCTGGAGTACAACTGTCTGTCTTTGAACCACCCTGTGCCTAGAGCGGCGTGGGAGCCGAATCAGTGCGCGGCAGATAAGGGATCTGCTTGAGGACTTGGTAAGCTTGCTGCCCACTCAGGTGCTGGGCTGCACACAGGGTGCTCAGTGTACTGACAGACAGGCTTCTATGACTCTAACCAACTCTGTAAGAGTCATGTGGTGATTGAGGAAATGGAGGGGGAAATCTCTAGAGGTTGTGTGTGTGTGTGTGTGTGTGTGTGTGTGTGTGTGTGTGTGTGTGTGTGTGTACATGCAAGTGTGCCTGTATGTTTTACACACACATGTATTTTGGTAGGGCAGTTGGAAAGGGCAATAGAAGACAGACATATTTGATTGTTAAGCTGATCTCATGAGGTATGCAGAGTAAATCGCCCCTACCTCCCACGACAGAGTCCCATGCCTGCACAGTACAGCTCAGTGTGGAAATGTTGATAAGGCATAGGCTTTCCAAAGCACAGCATTGTGGGTAAGAGGTAGTGACATCAGAATGCCAAGAACTGATGGGGTCTAGCCACTGGTGACAGAATAAATAGAGGGATGATGGCGCAGAAGCATAACATCCACGTCACCTTTCACTGTGTCTGGGAACAGCTTGGGAGTGGATTCCTTCAGAGGCTAGGGAATCTTATTCCAGAAGGGGGCTGCACCAAGACATCCCACTACACACGCTCTTGGAGGTGACCTCGACTTTCCTCTGCAGGGGCAGTGTCTATACTCTCTCCCTCGTATCTATTTGTGGGCTTCTGGTGATTTTGACCAACAAGATGGTGAAGCAAGGCCATGTTGCAGCTAAGGCTGAATCCCACTGACACTGCACTGTCCTCCTGGTTTACCTCAACTCTCAAACGTTAAGCTCCAGGCTGCCATGCGGCTCCGATGTGAACGTGGTTTCTTCCCCTCCAAAATTCACGTTGAAAGTTGGCTGTCATTGTGGGGCTTCAGATGGTCAGCTAGGCCAGCAAGCGTGGCCAATGCCTTTCTTACAGGATTGGGGTCTCCCTTGTGGAATCAGTGTGGAAACACTCAGGAGAAAACAAGGGAAACCTTCAAGTTCTGTCTCCTCCATAGGTGACACTTGCTCCTCCTCCTTTTCTTCTTCTTTTAAATTGTTATTTATTATTCTCTCTCTCTCTGTGTGTGTGTGTGTGTGTGTGTGTGTGTGTGTGTGTGTGTGTGACTATGGTACACATTTACTACTGTGAGCACGTGGAGATTAAAAATTAGTCCTTTCCTTCCACCACGGCTTCTGGGTACCCACCTCAGGTCATCCAGCTTACTCACTAAGCTCTACCATCCCCTCCACGCCCCCACCCTTCCCCTTTTCACAGAGTTGAAGCAACTTGCTTCAAGCATTGGCATCATGCTCTTGAAACCTGTGGGCCGAAAGGAAATGATTTTCATATAAATCACACAGATATTTTTTATAGCAATCAAAGATGGACTGAGACACAGATGAAGGACAGAGGGGCTCTGGTGCTGCTGTGTCGTGAGAAAGCCAAGTCACAGGAGTGACAGTGGGCAGGTGTTTGGAGCCCCTACCCCTGAGAGAAATGCCTGGCCGTCACGTGACCCCAGTGCTGACCTCTGAAGGAATCCACTCTCTAGCTATCAAGTGACCTTCTGGCTTTGAGTCTCCACAGGTGGATCACAGCCATCCAGAAGCCAGCCCTGAGTATCTCATCTAACTTCCTGATCCCAAGTCTCAAAGGAAGATGGGGAAATGGCTGCCTGAAGCTGCTAAGCGTCAAGGTAGTTTGCTGTAAGCGCATGATCTAACGGCCGCTGAAGGCAGGCAGGGGTTAGATCAGAGAGGCAGAGAAGACAAAAGAATAAGGAGACATGAGGATGGCCACACGTCCCAGCTTGGGCTCCCTTCAGGTCCTTCATCGTCTCCAGCACGTCCATGTGAATAGAGAGCATCAGTGTTTTTCTTGGTGTCTACATCCTCTAGAACTAAGAATTGGTACCTGCTTTTGAGAGCCCCTGATGTGATTTCCTCTCTGACAAACTACTCTAGTTCCGCTGGCAAATTCATTAGGAATGAGAAGCAAGTGGGAAGGTGGGAAGGGGTGTGTGTGCAGGAAGGAAACACGCATGCTCCAGCTTCTGCCATTCACTAAACTACCACTCATTTTCCACCGAGACAATATCCTGCATGAGAACCTCAAGAGGCCACTTCTGAAAGTGTCCTGCAAAGGCCATCAGCAAGCCCTCTAACTCACCAGCTCCGTGTCTTGCCCAGCTGCAATGCTGGGGAAAACTCCCGATGAAGGCCTCCTCAATTAGGTGCTGGTCATCGGTGGAGGCAATGTTGGCCAAAGTGGTTTCCCAAGTACCATCGAACACCACTTCCTTTTGATTCTGAACCGCTTGACAATGGATGCTAAAAGATTCTGTCTGTGAAAGGAGGATTTATAAGAAGGCGGGGTTTGCCTGCCTGGACAGCACTAGTGGGCAATGCCCATCCAGCTTATGCAGTTATCTCCTAGTTGAGAAGGAACCACACTGCATTCTGAGGTAGGGTGCCAAGCTCTTTCAAGGGAAGATGCACTTGCCTCTGAAGAAGGAGGAGGAGGAGAAGGGAGGAGGAGGAGAAAAGTGTTGCATCTGGGGGTCTCAATGCTCTCGAGATTTTCCTCATGTGTCACCCAAGCTGGGCATGCTTACTCGATACAGCCTTGCAGCAATAAGAGGAAGCTAAATTATACTGTTATACTGTGGACCACAGGATTTTCGAGAACTCCTTGTTGTAAATCAACTTTGAGAGAGCTTTGCCAACTAAAGCATCAGAAAAGGCAGTCCAGCTCAGTGATTCCCTTCTTCTGAAAGGCTATTTGCAAATTTTTGAGCATCTCCAAGCAAGAAGTATGCAGTTAATTCCTTCCACACTGCTGAAAACAATCTCAAGTCCTAACAAGCTTATCAAAGTGTGTGAGTTGGTGCCACCTATGGGGCATTTGTGGTACTGCAGCCTAGCTCTATTAGATGTGAATGTCCAGACCTAAAGCATCATGGAGTCAAGAGACACATTATGTAAAGGAAAAAATTCTTAAATACAAACTCTTTGGCATTATTTTGCAGGGAGAGAACAGAGGCTCTTGTTCTGGAGACAGGAATCATGAAGCTGTACAAGGAGAAGAGAAGACAATATAGAAATGTCTTGGAAAAATTCTCTGTGTAGAAGAAACAGATCCAGTCCTAAGTCTTTCAGCTGAGGAGTCAGACCCCAGGTGTGATGCTCTGGGAAGGGTTTGTAAACTCTAAACTATCCATGGGCAAGGAGGAGCCTTGCTCGCTGGGAGGTGCGAGCTGTCTTGTTCATATGCAACCAGGATAAAGGGCTCGCTCCTTCAGAGTGCAGACCGGCCAGTGAGAAGCGACGCTTGCTTAACTCAGAGGAACAGGGAAGCATCCACACTTCACAGCGGGGAGTCGGGAGGGGCAGTGATAAAGTGAAAGCGGCTACTCCCTGTTCCTCCTGAGTGGGCAGGTACACCCGTTGTCCTACGGGGGCCTCGTGGGAAGGTTGTTCCTTCAGCTTGGGGTAAAGAAAGCACCGCAGGCCACAGTTAATTGTCTGAATTCACACAGCTTGTCGGAAGAAGGGGTGGAGTCAGGATTTGAACTCAGGCCTCTCTGAGGTTCTGACTCTACCTATTTCTTCTCTGTTGTTGTCACCAAGAGCTCTGAGGACACTCGTGAGAAGAAAGACCCGTGTCCTGCAGAGCCATGAGTGACGTGCTGTGTCTAACCGACACCTCAGCTTTGTATCAGAAAGAAGCGCAGGGGCTTCTGGGGATGGAGTGTTTGCAAAGGAAGCAGAGAACAAATGATCCCAAGAGAAGCTGAAATCCACTTGAGTGACGTCAGCTGGGGGAAGGCTGGTTATGTAATGGGTCTTCAGGTTTGTCGGAGATTCTTGCTAGATGGTGGCCCCAGCTGTTCCTCATCTCATCTGGATGAGAGAGGAGGAAATTTGGCTCCGCAGCAGCCTGAGGGCGTCTGTATGGGAAGATTTCCTGGTCTTGGAATGGGTCGGGGCAGAAAAAAATCAAAACACAAAACAAAGGCGCGCCAATGGAGAGCCCCATTGTCTTAGGTGTAGGCTTTGAGAGGCCAATGCCTGCGTTACTAATGGAGCTCGCTGGCTGTGGCCCTCTGGACTGTGTCTCTGACACAGGCAGGGCTGCAAGGAAAAGGACTTAGGACCCCTGGAGAATCAGCCCTGACCACAATGCTGGGGAGGTAATACCTCCATATTAGCCCTTCACCACTAAATGATGACAGGTCTCAACAAGCACCAGGCACTGGGTATGGGCAGGGGCTAGGGCCCAGTGTCTCCGACTCTGCCCCTGGATGGGCAAATTGTCTAACTTCTCTGAGGTTCAGTTTCCTGTCTATAGAGCTGAGCTAACAGTGTGCTTGCCTAGCCTGCCTGAAGCCAGGGCGTCCATCCTCAGGGCCTCAAAGAACCAAGTCAACAAAACGCTGGGGTAACTCTGAATCAGAGGCAGGGTTCTGTAGAGAAGGCCTTGGCATTGGCTCCGTGGTTCTCGAAGAATGCCTGGCATACACTTGATGACTGACAGGCGGTCCTCACTCCCCAGTCTCCAGAGTCCACACACGTCTCAACAGGCCCCACTTTCTGAGAGCAGTAGGACTTGATTTTGAGTTGCTGAATCCTGCAAGATTACTCTATCAAACCTAGTCCAAGAGTCAAGGGCACTGCTTACAGCTATGGAGGGGATGGTGGCGAGAGAACCCACGTTCACCCTCTTCTACCCCCTCTGGAGGTGTACCCCAGGCCTATCAGTGTGCTCAGCCCAGCTCTTCCCAGACCACAGTGCCTAGGACCCTCTAGAGCAAAGGTTACTTACTGTCCCCTTGAGCCAGTCTATCTAGTCAATGGTATCTGGAAGGGTTCAGCCCCTTGAGGTCACTTGTCCACCTAGATACAGATTTAGAGGGACTCCAGTTATTTCAGATCAATCTGGTTTCCAACTTCAGTCCCTCTGCTGACTTCCTCCGTGGCTTCAGCCAAGTCCCTTAATCTCCCTGAGCCTTGCTTTCCTCACCCATAAAGTGGGAATGAAGGCCTCGAGGCTCTGTGGTATGCTTGGAATTAGATTACGCAAAGCCTCTGGCACAGGGCCGTTGTGGACTGCCGGATGAGGGATGCGGATGGAGCAGAGTGGAGGGGCCGTTCCTTCCTCCAGACCCTAGCTGGGCCACGTGAGAGTGCCGCCGCCTTCCCAAACACAAAGGTTCCTTTTTACTTTTTACATTTTTATTTATTTATTTTACTTTTCAAGGGTGCAAAACTATTAGGCCTTTAATAGAAGCCATAATTCAAACTTGGAATTTTGATCCTTTCCTGGGCTAGCTACCTGCAGTACATGGCAATGGGCAGGGCTGCAGCCAATCGCTGCCTGTAAGGGGAAAAACCAGACACGGTCTGCTGCGTGGCTCTGCGTGGCTCCGCACAGCTGCATGCGGCTCACCGTGGCTCCGAGTGGCTCAGCTGAGGTGTTCGGCAGGTGCGATGGATTTAACGCATTATCAGCTGAGGGGGTTTTAGTTTCCCACGGGTTTACAACACACCACCCATCCTTTCTGAGCCCGAGAGACCTAGGGCTGCATCATCTCCACACTCCTTCTCTAGCCATTCTCAAGGGAAGGGGGAAGCTCTGCATTCCTCTCTTGTATTACTGGTTGGTTGGTTTTGCCTTCTTCTGTTTGTAAGTTTGGGTCTTATGAGCCCAGGCTAGCCTTGAACTTCACTGAGATTGACCTTGAACCTTTGATCCTCCTGCCTCTGCCTTTTGAGTGGTGGGTTTACAGTTGTGTACCCCACTGTCTGGTTTTATGTTGTTTTGTAGGTGAGACCCAGGCCTTCCTACAGGCTGGGCAGGGACTCAATCTACACCCTTACCTGGATAACCTCTCTTCTTGCCTTAGCTTCTGGAGAAACTCAGTTCAGTCTCTTGCCTCAGTTTCTCTGAAGTGGCTAATTGGGACTGGGGTGGTCGTCACTGCCTTACTTACCTTGTAGACCATGTGGGAGGTGTTTAGATGCTTGCTTAGCAAGGGAAACCGAGTCTCGTCTGTGCTTTTGACATTTGGGATGGGCTAATTCCTGGCGTCGGCTGTGGGACGGCCAACAGCATGTTCTGTCCCAGGAGCGACAGCCCGAACCGCCTCCAGACTTTGCTAACTTGACCTGTGCACACATGTGCACTTTGAGTCACTGGATTCAGCTGCGACTAGGGAACGTTTTAGGTCCCCATTTTCCTATTACCCGTCTATCTGAACTCTGAAGAGAGAGGACGGAGTTCCCCTCCCATCAGCCCTCACACCGGTCTGTCTCACAGCGGGGTAAGCAAGAGACCTCAGCTTCTCCACAGCAAGAAAAAAAAAAAAACTGTGGTGACAGAGACACAGGAAGAGGCACGTGAGAGGGAAACTGAGGCAGGAGCTACCTAGCAACACATGACTTTGATGACCTTTCCAGAAAAGGCCGTGTTGGAGCAGAGGAGAGGCTGTGAGGGCCAGCCTGTGCTTGGGTAAATAAATCCCTGGGATCCAAAGGTGTGTGGGGGTAGTTATTAATGGCCTTTCCACAGCGGCCACGAGTGACTGAAATGCAGGAAGGACACACAGCTCTGTGTACAGAAACTGCATGCCCACTCCTGCCGGTCACTACATGCTGCCCTGGGACATCCTTCCCTGCCCAGATGCTCCGCCCAGCTCATCCACTGCTCACAAATGGCTCCGCGGGGTCCAGGGTCCAGTAGCCCAGGCTGGACCTGGGATGCCTGAGACCAGAACAAAGGAAAGGAAACCTCCATGAGATGCCACGATGTAATCACTGCCTTCTTAGAGTCTGGCTTTGCTGTGGTGCCAAGGCAAGAGCTGTCTGTCCCGCCACCTTTCAGTGCTTGTTGAAAAGCAGAAGCCATGGCCTGGCCTGCAGGGCCGCAGACAGAGAGGGCTTTCTTTGCAGCAGCTGGAGGAGGCTCAAGGCTGTAATGAAAGGTCTTATTAGCCCCAGCTGGCGTCCCACTTTCCCTGAGCTGGAATAAAAAATTGCCTTGGTCATCCTTTCCCAGGCTAATTTCAAAAGCATAATCACCATCATCATAATTGATTACTATTTATTTTGGTCATTAATTGGTATGCACCCCCTTGTTACATGTGAATTAAATGGTCCAAGAATATTTGGGGCCCGTGAAAGCTGTATGTGTTTTCCCTCCTTCCACACAGATCCCTGCGGCCCCTGCAACCCCGTACCCCCTCTTGATATGGCCACACCAAGAGATGAATGCTCATGGTAAGGTGGATCAGAGGTGGGATGAGAAGTTGGGAGAGCCGGGGGTCGGGTGGGGGGGGGTGGTGGGGGGGGGGTGGTGGTGGTGGACGTAGTCCTATTGTAACCTGAAAAGGACAAGAGGGATGTATCCCAATTGCCAAGCTTGTGCTCAAAGTGAGAGGTGAAGGAGAGGAGGGTTGAGGGAGGGGAGGGAGGCGGAATGGGATGAACAAGGATACATTGTAGCTCCAGCAGGAATGGAATTTGGGGGCCTGTTATCTTTTGTCTCAAGACAGCTTGAGAGCCACCTGCACGTGAGCACAAAAGGGTCACAATGTACTGTGAAAATGCTGAAAATAATGAATGCAGTCCCTGCAAATGCCCTGGCAGGAAGAAGTATTTTAAACTAAGACACACCCTTCGGGTCTGGACCCTAAAGATAGACTTGGTGGGGGAGGGTCGCCAGACCTCCTTATTTATAAGAGGGGTCTTATGTTCTGATTTTTGTCGGTGCTATAGACCTATTAGCCGTCAAAGCTGAAGATTCTAATTCTGCCTAAAATATGAAAACTTGGCACTAGAGAGATGGCTCCACAGTTAAGAGCATTTACTGCTCTTGCAGAAGACCCGGGTTAGTTCCCAGCACCCATAGCAGGTGACTTACAACTTCCTGTGACTTCACTCTCAGGGGTCTGACACACTCTAGCCATTTCCAGCACCTGCATATGCGCACGCGCGCACACACAGCACATAAGCTCATGCAGGGACACAAAGACACTTAAATTTTTTTTGAAATCTTAAAAAATGATAGCTAAATCAATAAAGGACTTCCCTATAGTTCTGTTTAATGACACCCCTTGTTGCTGGCTCCTTTGTGTATTCAATACATTATGTACCTGCTGTATGACGTAAGGCTTCTAGTGATGTGAGGCTCAGGACACCTTACCAAACCAATGTCTTCCAGACTGGAACTGTCCGTGTGCTGACCTTTCCAGACCTGTGTCCATGGGATCCCCACTGTATCGTGGCTATTCTCTTTAGGCAAAGACACTGGCTGTGTCCCACAAGGAGCAGCCCCTGACAGCTAAAAGGAGCCTGGGCATCGGAGGAGCACACTTGTAAATAAGTACTTCACATTTCAAACTGCGAGTCTCCTTTAAGTCTTTGCTTGGTTGTTTTGCGAAGTTTCGAAGCTGCCGTCTGTTCAGATCCTCCGCACACCTGTTGGAACTGCTAACTAAAGGTTCTGAGCAGGACTTTGGGGATGCTAGGATGTCCGCCACAGAACAGACAGACTGAAACCCAAGAACAGACTCCTGTAGGCCTGGCCTAGCGACCACTCCATCTGTACCTCTTCTTAGTTCCTCACAAGGAGCAGCGAGAATTTCAGCGCCGTCTCCTTGACACCTGTCTCCTCCTCAGCCTGTGCTCAGCTGAGACCAACCAGGACTGATCCCATCCTGGTGATGAGGGACAGTTGAGCTCAAAGAGTGACAGACACCATGAGCGGGGCCACATCCAGAGTACAGCAGCTGGGTTATGTATGCCTTCACCTTCTATTGCTAATTAACCCTGACCCTCATCTCAGGACCCTGAAAAACGAACCTGGTGGCGGATGTCACTGGGTCTCTTTATGTGTCCCTTCTCCTAATGTGGCCACACTGAATGAATCTCTGTCTCTGCTCTTTGCTCTTGTCTCTTTATTGTTCTGTTGAGGACAGGTGTTGAGCTAGCCTGTTAGGGCTGCCAGGGCCCAGGCTCTGACCCTGACAATTCAGGTAGCACTCCCAGGTTGCCAAATCTTCTCAAGGTTTCGACAAATGAGGGTTCTGGAAAAAGAACGCCTTAGTTCGTAGCTACCTTTTTCAAGCTTCAACAGTTTTACTTCCATGGGATCCCAGTTAGGCACGAAGCCCTTGGGAGGCCCTGGAGGTCAGAGCAATGGAGACGAGAAAGCAAGTCTTAGAAGCTGGAATTTTCCTGAGGCCAGGCTCTCACTTCTCCTGCCACCTGGCTATTTCAAGATGCTGGGATAGTGTGGGAAGGGCTCAAACTATGCCAGTCCAGTGCCCCCTCCTGCCAGGCATCCAGTTTCTTGATTGGTGGAAGAAGATTCCCCCAAGCTCCAACAGGCCAGGTGGGAGTCTTCTCTAGAAGTTTTGAAGCTGACTGAGACCAGTAAGTGGTTCTGATGTTTGAAGAAAGGAATTATTCACAGACAGTTCATCTGACAGGTGAACGGAACAGGCCAGTTCCTGCTGGGGGGATCGAGTCAGTACCCAGAGAGACACTGGTTTGAGAGAGAGATAGAGCCCATCCTGGGGGCTTTTGCAACCTTGCTTATTTCCTTTTGAAGCTTGCATATCAGCTCTGGGGCTGTGCCTGCATATGGTCACTGCGTGCCAGTGGTCTCTTCCGATGTTTGGAGTATTTGACTGAACATCTGCACAGGTGATGACTCCACCTGGCAACACCCCTGTCCTTTCTTTAGCATATATAGGAGTACCCCAGCTCACTGTCACTAGCCCCTCTTTTGGCAAATGTAGCTGGAATTGAACTTATATACCAAATAAAACCTTAGTAATATGATGAGCATGGAGAGAGAGAGAGAGAGAGAGAGAGAGAGAGAGAGAGAGAGAGAGAGAGAGAGATTGAGATCTTCCCATTCTAGACAGCAGGAAGAATGTACCTCAGACTTCCAGGGAGTCCTTGAGGGGTTAATGGTAGGAAGAGGAGTAGAAACCAGGCTAGAACCACCCCAGCCTTAGGGCTGGGCTACTGGGCTCTGTGAAGCAGGGACCACAAAGAAGACTCACGAAGGCAAGCCATTTCCAGACACCCTCGGGGGTTGACTGTGAACAGCTGCTCAGTCCTGGGCAGGACAACAGTGTCCACATAGCCTCCACATTTTCCAGGGGGGGTGGGGCTGAGAGAAAGAGCAGCATCACAGCCAGCTCCAGAGGGTGGGGTATGCAGAACAGAGAGGGTCAGAGTCGGCAGCAGAGCTGTGTCCAACCCCGAAACGGAGACTAGGAAGACTGGAAAAGAAGCTTAGAAGTCACAGTTACCACATTCACCCCCAAACCCCGCCCCACTCCTGGGCCCAGGCTTTCTGAGTCTGCCTCGTAAAACACATAGTCCCTTCATCTCAGGAATGAGCAATGATAGAGGATGTATTTTTTTTTTTTAAGAGGATAGGAGAGGGACATGGAGCAGAGAATTCAAACAATCCCTTGGAATGTAAATTTGTGTTCTTTAAGCAGGCTCATGTGGGTTCATGCCCTGTCTCTGTGGGCCTGCAGGGGAGCCACACTAACCCAGCAGCCTTCAGAGATGGGGTGATGGTACCTGGTCGTGTGTGGGTAAAGAACATTGAGACTGCCCAGCTGCCAGGAGAGCAGGGCAATGCCTGGGCCCTGGCACAGCACCAAGGGCAGGCAGGGAGTTGGTAGCCATCCTCTTTCCCCTCCCACTGTGTATTCTTTTGAATATATATTTTTATTTTGCAGCGCTGGGCTCAAACCTGGAGCTCTTGCTGTGTTCTTCCTCTGGTGACCTTCTTCCTCCATCCCCAAGTCTTTTTGTGATCTTGTCCTCACAGGCCCAGTACAGGGTCCCAGCTTTGGCACTCCAGCCTGGGGTCTTCCAAGGTCTGTTTCTGGAGCCAGGCCTCAGTGGTTTGATTTTGGCCTTCATTCCCCCGTCCTGTGACCTCACCCACGGTCACACCCTCTGTCTGCTGTCACTTTGCTCTCCCAGTCGGCTCATCTGTGAGCCTTTGCCACTTAAGTCGCGCCTGTCCCCTATATCTGAAAGTTTACATATGCTGAAGTCCCTTCCATACATCATGGTGCCCGGGCCTATCCCCTGCATAGGTCAAGTCATCTTTAGACTTGGAAGGACACAAGGGAAGTCTAGTAAGCAGTTCTTCAATTGTATCGTCTAGAGAATGGTGCCAGGGAGGTGTGACGTGTTTGGTACAGAGTCAGTGCTTTTCTTGACTGTTTGCCATCCGAAGCTGGTTGTCTTGAACAATGCAGAGAGTCAGCTGGCTCCACATGAGAAACATGACCTCACAATTCTGTGCCATCTTGGTCGGGCAATGCCAACTCTGTGTGTCTTCTGCGTCCAGTCCCAGTTCACTCAGATTCCAGGTTCACTTCCCTCAAGGCTGTTTGCAGAGGTCTGTTCTTCCACACAGGCCTCTCCACAGCTGAATGCCATCACAACACAGGCGGCCAGCTTCCTCAACAGCCAGGGACCGAAGAGAGAGTGAGCACGCAAAGCCACCGCCACTGTGCCTGTGGAGAACTTGTCTCCAAAGCTACACGCTGTCACTTCTGCTCGGCTCTGTTTCTCAAAAGTTTCTTTCTTTTCTTTTTTCTTTCTTTTATTAGACAGGATTTCTCTGTGTAGCCCTGGCCATCCTGGAACTCTCTCTGTAGACCAGGCTGGCCTCGAACTCAGAGATTTGCCTGCCTCTGCCTCCCGAGTGCTAAGATTAAAGGCATGGGCCACCACCACCTTATTAAAGGGAGTTCCTTAATCCAAGCCATATTCATAGTGTGTGTGTGTGTGTGTGTGTGTGTGTGTGTGTGTGTGTGTGTGATCATCTGCTTGTAGCACACCACACACTCAAACACCAGAGCCTTGAAGGATCTGTGGAGATCTCAAACCACAGAGCTCCTGGGTCTGGCTGCTTCCCTTCCTTTCCTGCCTGTTAAGGTTTATTTCCAGAGCTGACAGCATTGCCACATCCCTGTCCTGTACCCACCAGCCACCAGTGCACCCTTGTCCCAATGTGTGACTCTGCAAAATGATTGTCAGATGTCCCTTGGGGGATGTGGGTAGCAACAGACAGTAAGATTCTCCCAGGCTGAGGTGCTGGGTCAAGAATCATTGACCCTGGTCTTTCGTTGGAAAATGCACTAACCTCTGAAACATGCTCATGGTGCAGTGTGCAATGTGTAAGGCTGATTTGTGGTCATGCTTTGGCCAGT